CTGTGACCCTAGCAGGGTTTTAGAGAGGGTCAGAGAAGTCATTTAGCATCTGTGAAGGGTTTGGGCTGGGGTTGCAAACTCATGGAGATATGGGCTTTCAAAGTGTCAAGTGCGGTGAGAAGCACTGAATGAAGTGCACCAAGGGGCACTGGGAGGAGATGTAAGAGCACTGGAAGAGCAGTGAGCTGTGGCTGGCGTGCGCAGGCAGGGAGGTGCGCTGGAGTGATGTGGAGGTGGCTGGGTTGGGCGCCCCCGGCGGTGTTTTGGTGCCCTTTGGGGCGGCGCTGAAGTGCGCCAAAGTACTGTGGAGCATTCAAGACGTTTCAGCGCCTCTCAGCGCACTTGAGAAGCGAAGTCAAGCAGGTTGCATGAGGGACATGTAGCTAGAAAAAGGATGAAAAACTGAACATGTTCATCTTTCCCTCCTTCTTCCCTACCACCACCATCCCCCATCCTCTTTGACAACAGTGCACTTCAGTGTCTTTCAGCGCACAACCAGCATTACACAGCTCTTCAGACCAAGTGAGTGCCTTTGAGCGCCATTCATGGCCAGCAAGCGCAGCAGAGCGCTGATGATGGTGAGATTTTGCTCCACAGCGCAATTCACTGCACCATGCCAGCCAAAGGACGCTCTACAAGGTCTGTCACCAGCAGACCAGTGCCTTCCAGCGCACTTCAGCAGCCAGTGGCGCTGCTCAGTGCTGAAGAGAGCCAGATCAGCGCTGCAGAGCACCCTGAGGGTGTCAACAGCACTCAGAATGGACTAAGTGCGCCCAACAGTCAGGAGGAGCACTCAGATGCACCAGCAGGCGCTGAAGAGGCCTCTCAGGATGCTGAAGACATTACAGAACGCCAAACTGAGGTTGCAGCCCAGGAAGTGCTGCCAAGTGCGCCCCAGGATCAGGAGCACCAAGCAGATGCGCTGCGCAGCACTCAGGAGCGCTCTGCAGCACCAGATGCGCTCCAGGAGCGCTCATCTGCTGGCACTGGCGCTCAAGTTCCCCTTGCTGCGCCAAGCAGTCCAACTGAAGACTCAAATGCGCTGGGTGGGGCTCCTGCCAGGGAGCACAACACTCAAGCGCACCAAAGTGCACCTAAAAAGAAAGAAAGTGCGCCCAAGCCGCTGCAAAAGGGACTTTTCAGCAACCAGGGGCGCCTGAATGTGGGTACTGGTGGCCAAGTGCGCCTGTCAGGAGACAAGAGCACCAAGAAGCAGCAAAAGGCACCAGAGAAGATGCCTGTGCCTCAAAGCAAGCAGTTAGGGTAGGTTAGGGTTAGGGTTAGGGTTAGGGTTAGGGTTAGGGTTAGGGTTAGGGTTAGGGTTAGGGTTAGG